TAGCTTTCTAATTAACCTAAGTTTGGTGTGCCTCTTTATCTGTTTAGGGTGGGACTCCAACTCCCATCACCCCCAGCTAGCACGACCAATAGCCTAGGATGATGGGAGTCATAGTCCAACAATATCTGGAAGGTGCCATGTTGGTTCTCCCTAGTTTTCCTCATAAGAGAGATGTGGGAGTGAGTGCCACTGTGTTACAACACCTCACCTTTATTGCATGGAAGAAGCAGAACACAGCCACTGCATGATGGTTTCTCAACAATGTATCACAATGATGTGGTGTCCACCACAGATTTCATCTGATGGTAACATCTCATCAGTTCAGTCCACTCCTAGCAGTATGGACACACACTCCCTTCATGGCCACATCTCATGTAAAAGTCCCAGATTGTTGATGTAACAATGGAGACTGAATTAAGGTATGAAACTTACTATAATAAGATAGAGGCCACTGACTTGCATGGCTTGATTAGAGCAATTCACCAAGGACAAGGAAATGGCTATCAATGGATATTAGTCATAGTTGTTACAAGGGATCTTCATGTTTACAGGCAGTGTGCAACTGAGTAACAGCTGCTAACAGGGGTGGGGGCAGAGGACTATTTCCTTCAGACTTGTCTTGTTTCCTAGAAGCGTATGGTTCACCGCTATGGGAAGCAGGGTGCTATAAAAGACAGACCTTCACCTTCATCCGGTATGGCCCTTCTGTGGTGGGCATTGCCCATTGGGGCAGCAAAGATGAAGACAGGGAGCCCAACAGTAGAGGGAGCCACAGCCAATAACAGGCAGAGCCAACAAATTTGAATGAGCCCTGCTGAGTTCTCCAAGGGATTAAAAAGGAGGGTGACAGTCACTGCCAACCCTGGGACTGGAAGTCTGGGACTACTGGCTGAGGGGAGAATGAGGTAGGTGGGGCAGTGTCCCAGTCACCCAAATGGACTAGTCTTCACTGCAGCCCTTCATTTGTAATTTGTAATATCTATATGGTTTCATGTATATTAGCCTTCCAACCCACGTACACTGGAAAATGCATTGTAAAATGTGTTGATCTGGATTGTTGTTTTGTGTTTTTTAACAAAAAGATGCACTGCATCCACCCAAAAAGTAATGTGTGAAGCAGCCTCTACAATAAGAATGCTTGCTTTCTCCAGAATATTCAAAATATACCTGCTGGCATTTATGTTGATATCTACTTGCTAAAATGGAAGCTGCTAGCTGAGTCTGGGGTGTCAAGTATGTTAAAATCTGGTCCTTGCAAAGGCCAGAATTTCCTTCCAGTCTGTTTTGTGTGGATCAGTCTTATGCTGATTATTTCTCTGTTAAAGCCAGCAGAAATTACCGTATATTTGGTAATATGACACAATCGTGTTTCCTTTCGTATTTGCACTATCTTTGTTCTTTACTATTTATAGCCTAAAATATGTATCATAAAGCACTCCATAGTTGAACTGCTGCCAAGATCAACATTGCTATTGGAACATATACTTCTGCATTCCCTGCACTATCATTAACTAGCAGAAATGCTCATTATTGTGATGGGGGAACTGGGTGATGGGGTGGACAAGTCCTCTTGGGATACCTTTCTATGAAGCTACCTTATATTAAATCTGGCCATTGGTCCATTTAGCTCAACACTGTCTACACTGACTAGTGGTCCCTTACCAGCATTTCAGACAGGGGTCTCTCCCCCAACACTACTGGAGATTGAACCTGGGAGCTTCTTCATACAAAGCAGACACTCCACCACTGAACTTGCCCAACAACAAGAAACCGGAAAAACATATAGTTCTCTATGTAGACATTTCAGGATCATCCCATTCTGTAAACTCCTACCTGCAGTTTAAAGCTGTACAGCCCAGTCTCAGGTTTACTGCCTTAGTAAAAACTTCCTTTATACATGAGGGAGGGCAACTTTTGCCCCCAACAAAAATTAGTACACAAACCTAAGTCTGCCAATGGGAATAAATTGCAACTGTCCATTGTATGTTGGAGAAAATGAAGGTCTGTCTTCTAGGGAATCATCATGAGGATAAAGGAAATTAACAAGTCCCCTGTGTCCATCAAACCTTATTTTCCTGAAGAATTTGGATGTTCTGACTCTCCCAGCCATCTTTCCTCTGACACACATTCTACTTTGTCTCAGAGAACTGAATGGGGGAAACTTAGAATAATGTCCACTATGTCTGCATGTTCCAACCCATCATCTTAAGAAAACTTCACTCTGGGTTCCATTTCCAAGGCTCGCACTAGTCCCTTCTCAACATTTGAAAGCTCTCAGAATTAAGAACCATGGACAGCTCCTTCGGAACACCTCTGGCCTCAATTTTTATTGCATTTCCCATTCCAGCCACGCAGAACTTTACACAGGAGTCTTGGTTGTTGGCTAATCCCAATAAAAATGCTAAATAGCTATCACAGCACCGTAGGGAGTTGCCAGTCTCTTTCATGGAAGCTAAAACTACAATCTATCTTTTATATGTCACTAACTTTTAACTGATGGATTGCATTTTCTTTGCTGCATATGAGACACAGTGGCCACAATATGCTCCATAGGCATCACTGCCTGTGCCTGTCCTGGAATTACACTTTAGTACTATGGTGGTGTTTTAGTACAGTACCTGTGGGATCTGCAACAAAATGTTGCAGGGCTGAGTGCTCTTGTTCAGTGTTCTAGTCAGACGGTTGTGTCCAACATTCCATTCCCCTCTTCTCTATTATTATTATTTTCTGCTCTCTAACAGTAAATCCATGCCATATATTTAGAACACACTGCTCACTCTCCAAATAATCCTGGGAACTGTAGTTTGTTAAGGATGTTGGGAACTGTAGCTCTTTGAAGGGTAAACTACAATTCCCAGGAATATTTGCAGGGGACATGTATGTTAAAGTGCTATAAATGTGTTTTAAATTTATGGTGTGAGTGTGAATTGAGGCAGAATGCAAGAGCTACTGAGCATACTTAGTCCTCACTCGACTCTTTTGGGGTTTCCACCTCCCTTAGGACACTCTCCTTATACAGAGAGAGAGAGAGAGAGAGAGAGAGACTCAGTGGTGGTGGTTTTCTTGACATCTGCAAACCACCAAGTTCTTTCATTTTGGCTTCATGAAGGTCCACACTGAGAAAATTAGTTCGCCATTAGCATGTAGGATAAGAACCAACAGCTGTGTTTGCTGTGGAGTGGGGAAGGAAAGGCAAATATCTCAATTCAGAGTCTGAAACAAACACTCACAGAGACACTAGGGAGCTGCCACATGCTCACTGCACATCCCACAGCGTTTGGAGACACATGGCCTTCTCTCCTTCATGTTTTATGATATTTGTTGCTGCAAAGACCAATGTGCACAAAGAATACATGCCTGTCGCGGAAAGCGTGAATTGGCTCTCCGCCTTCTGAGATTCTAAGAATAGCTTTTGGAGACAGGACCCATTTGCATTTCCAACAAATATTTTCAATCTGATTTCTTTTTAAAGTGGTTCTTTAAGGATATATTCCCTCCCTCCTCATCTGAGTTAAGAACTGTGTGGCTTTAAAAAAACACACTTCAGAATATGAAGCCTAGAAGGAAAGTCTTCATATATTGCAATTGTTTTCAATAAGGGCACATTAGAAGATAAACCGGGGGGGGGGGGGGTTGGGTGGTCAGATATGACTTGATAGTATCTCTTTAAAATGCAGACACTGTAAAGTTCATCCCTCAAGGCAGTAGCTGGAGGAGGAGGAAATAGCTGGGCACTGAATTTCAGACCTTTACTCTCATTATTTATTGCTTTGTCTTACAGCCAAATTGCTCTGGCCTGGATAGCTTAAAAAGTTCCTTGATTGTCTCCTATCATAATGCCCCACATCTCTTACCTCTTTCATGAAATTAGTGATTGATGCACAGCTGGCTAGCACTATGATCTGATCATTTCTGCATTTTTAAGACACAAGTTTCTTTGACTATAAGCAGCACTGCAGTGTTTAACAACTGCAGCCAAAGGCTGTCTTTGAGGAGTATGCTACAGATTCAAATGGATCCTAAACCTGGAACCAAATTGGGGTGATTCAGTGGGTCTAGATGAAGTGAAGTGGGATCAGTGCAAATTGCCCCATACTGAAGTGAGAACCCCACCCCTTCAAAGTACTTCAGGGTGCTTCAGAAAAAATAAAAAATACTGCAAACACCTCTGCTAAAAGTGAAATTAATGTCTGTAGCTTGCCAAAGAACAAAAATATCAGGGTGGAGTGGGGGCTCTTTTTTTGCATTGCTAGTAAAGCTTGTGATCAGAGGGAATAATCTTATCTGGACTCTCCAATCCCAGAGTTTTGGAGAAAGTATATTTAAGTAAATTTCAGTACTGCCTAACGAATGAGAATAAATAGCCAATGTTATCTAACCCTCCATCAAACACACTGGGATGAATGCTCAATAAGTAGGTCATCTGGAAGTGTCCTGGCAAATTGGTGCTCAGGACCCAGAAACAAAAGTTATGACAGAGGGGAAATGAAATTCTTGTATTTCTCTGATACCAAATTTAGAATATCCCTAAAACACATATCCCCGCACACTAATTTGTCTTTAGTTTAACAGGGTCCTTACTTAGGAACCTCTATCATGTCTACCATATTAAGAACAACTGACTACATAACACTAGAGAAATTTAACTCTTTTTTAACCCATCCCCAAACTGTAAAGGCTGCCCATGTGGGGGAAAAATCACTTTGGCTGTCCTCCTAATGTTTGACATAATTCACTCCTTCACAAGGGACAAATATGCCTGGAAAATTCCATAGCATTCTTCTTCTTCTTCTTCTTCTTCTTCTTCTTCTTCTTCTTCTTCTTCTTCTTCGTCCTCTTCCTCTTCCTCTTCCTCTTCTTTGTAAGCAAACTTTATACACACACATTATGTTCCAATTCCCTTTTCACTGACGAATTCTGCCTTTATAGCAAGCATTTGTAGGAAAACATGGACTGAGGAAAGCTGCTTTACAAACAGAGCCACCATGTGAGAGATCCAGTGTGTGGCTTGGTGACAGAGCATCTGCTCTGCATGCAGAAGGTCCTGGGTTCAATCCCTGTCTCCAAAAAGCCAGGGAATGTACTCATTCTGAAAGTCTGGGGGCCAGTCATCATTCAGTGTAGACAATACTGAGCTAGATGCTCCAATGGTCTGACTCAGTATAAGACAGCTTACCACATTCCTCTGAGTGTGTGAACCAAACTGAACCTTCAGTGTAGGGGAAGGAGTCTGTATCAGGGTGTGTGTGTGTGTGTGTGAGAGAGAGAATTCCCTGCCTATCTCATCACTTACCTGCACACACAAATATGTTACATTCACTGCATGTGTGGTATGGGTCACAATGCCCTTTGGGCCAAGCATCTTGTGAACAGTGATAAGTGCATTAATTCAATGTTTCTGTGGAAACAAGGAATTGGTGATGGGAGAAGAAAAAACAGAATCGCTGTGCTGCTTTGGGGTTCTGAAACCATATCGTCTTTCTTTTCTTTCTCTTTTCCCTCGTGTGGTGGCATCTTCTCTAGTGCATAGCATTATGAGATGCACGTAATGGTTACAATCTGCAAACACTCTCTTCTTGCTCTCCAGTTAATGGTCCAGAAGAGTCTGCACCATTTAATCTTCAGATATGAAACACTCAGTGACCCTCAGCTGTGGAAATCAAGCTTTGGCTGGTTAAGAGGATGCAAAATATACTTTATAAAAATGGATAAAAGTGAAGTCAGCTTCTTCTTTTTTAAGAAAAAAATATATTTTTAACATGTTCATGTGTTGAAACCCAAATTCAATGAAATAAACCACATGACTGACCAAAAAGAAACATGCGTGGGCTATCCCATTGACATTCCAAATGAGAACTCTTAATAGCTAATTTCTAAATCAGAGATACTCTCATTTATTTAATTGCTTTTTATTTTACACACTTTATCCCCATAAATTCAGAAATGATCAAAGGCCATTTCAACCACAAATCCAGTCCTCTTGTGACATGCAGGCAGCTGAATCGATACCTGACAGAAGCTTTTTTAAAAGCAACGTATCTGAACCCTACCATATGGGGTGGAATTTTCATGCTGTGATGCATCCAGCACAAAATATTCTATATTTACTTGAATGTAGGGCAGTATCCTCAGTGAATGTAGGAAGCTATCTTATATGACTAGCTCAGCATTGTCTACATTGACTGACAAGAGGCTATTCAAGTCTAAGGCAGAGACACCCCCCACCAGTTACCTAAACTTTTAAAGCTGGAGACACAGACTCATAGATCTGGAGGAAGCCTTATAGGCCATCCATGGCTATCATCGGTTACTAAAGTTGAGGGGTATGTTCTACTAAGGCAGTACACTTCTGAATTCCAGCTGCTGAAAATCACAGGAGGGGAGAGTACTGTTGTGCTCAGGTCCTGTTTGCAGGCTCCCAATAGGCACCTGGTTGTCACAGGTAGGACTGGATGCTGGACTAGATGGGCCACTGGCCTGATCTAACAGACTCTTCTTATGTACATCTGTTCCAACCTCCTGCATGAAGCAGGGAATTCAAAGCACCTCCACTAGCTGACTTTCCAACCTCTATTTGAAGACCTCCAATGATGGGAGCCCACCATTCCTCTCAGTAATTGTTTCCATTGTCATACTGTTCTTTACAGCAATACATTTCTCCTCAGGTTCAACTGAAACCTACCTTCTTGTAAGTTGAACTCATTAGGTGGACAGTGAGCTTCTGTGACTTGCACCCCCACCGCAAACTCCACATATCAGGTCCCTAATCACTCAGCCACATTAGCAGGTTTCAAGGAATGTATCTTGGAATTTATGCATGTTAAGCATGTGTTGTACCTCTGAGTAGGGGGTATGTGGTATTAGGGAAGGAGGAGTACCTCTGTTGGGGAACATGTTGTGATCCTTCTGGGGTTCCCAGACTGCATTCAGCTCTCACCTGTGGCTCCTAGAAGCTATCTGCATGTGAAAGTGGCCACACCCCGGGAACAGCTTCAATTGGCCAGCAAAACCAGCTAAGGGTAGCTGATGGGTCTCAAACCCTCAGTGAGTTAGGGATAAGACTAATTGGACAAGACCAATAATGGGTCCAGTGGTCAAGAAGGGAGTTTCTGCACGAGCTGTAGAGGGAGAGATGGTGCTCATTAACCTGAGAAGATAGCCCATCTAGGAAAAGGAATACTCTGATCCTAAATGTCTACTGCCTTGTGGGATATCTTCAGGAAAAGGAGTAAACCCTACACAAATCCGGAATGGAGTCCGTAATACAGTTGGATAGCACATTGTACACCACTTTCTGGCAATTACTTCAACAAAGCTGGTGCCAGACAAATTGTTCTGCTTTCCTTTGGACCACATCCAAATGAAGAGTGAGGGATCTTATCAACTGGACAGTCCAGGACCTTCATACACACTGCCACGGCTTGCACCCAGGGAGGTCACTTTGGTGCTGTTTGACTTACCCCCCTGGACATTGGCTCTTGACACAGTTGGATGCCAACCACAATGTACCTCTGAGCCATGGTCCTTCCCCATCAGCATTTCATGCTGTTTTTAGCCGTCATGGATAATAGCCATTGATAGACCTGTCCTGTATGCCTAATCCATTTGCAAAACCATCTCTGCTAGCAGGAACTGCAACATTCTGTGGCAATGCAATGAAGTCCATTATACATAATTATACATTATGTGACAAAACACTGCCTTTTGTTCTGCCTGAAACTGCTGCCACTCAGCTTCAGTTGTTGACCCTGAATTCTAGTGGTTTGAGAGAGATAATCAGTCCTCTCAACTTACTCTTTCCACATAGATATGTTTCTGTTACACATGAAACACCTGATGTGAGGAGAACTTGCATCCCTCTGTGTGTGTTAGACCAGATAGTGGTTTAAGTCAGTGACAGTGTTCTACTGAGTGGTGACATGTGCTAGGCACAGAATCCAGGGAAACTGTGTCATGGGGTCACATGCCATTGGTCCCAGTTCAGGATCAAGGAAGCAATTGCAGAGCAAGTGTTCTAGCAATTCACAGTCAGGTGAAACAAATACCAGAACTAGATAAGTAAGGTCAAGGGCCAAAAGAGAAACAAGTCAGGGATATTTTGGGGCAGCTCCAAATTTATCTAGACTGGAAAACAGGCTTGAATCTTGCTTATAACCACCAGCAGACCCCTACTGAATCTTAAATAGGACTTCTCTGTGCACTATGGGTGGAGCTTGTGTTCTTTAGAGAACCAGCCTACCTAAGAAGCTGTTGAATTTGGTGGTTTGTGGGAAGTTAGGGTTCTATGAATGGGCTCTGAACTGGGCAATGTAACCTATTCAAGCTAGAGAGATGCTGGCCTCACAGACTCTTCTGGTGATGATACCTAAATGCCTTTTGGAACTTGTACTGCTCTGAATTTTGCAAAGCAGTTATCCAACCAGCAACAACAAAAAGATGCATACAAAAGCATGTGTCTTACAGAATTGTTTACACAACACTGTATGTGCATTATGTCAGGGAAAGTTGCTTGCAAAAATGAGTAGATTAGGCAAAAATGTGTAAGCTAGGAAAAATGTGCCTGAAAATGCGTAGATTTTCTTGTTTAATTTTTCAAGGCAAATTAGAGCAGAAATAGGGGACATGGAAGATTCCTCAACATGAGAAACAGAGAGAAATAAAAACTGGCATATTTATTCATCGCTGTAAGCAGTGCTTTTTTCTTTTTCCATTTTCCTACTCATATTGAAATACTGCCCCACAATGAGGCCACACTTAGATTCACAACATGTTTAGGGGTATGCATATATACCCATATGTCCCCCCAGAAAAAAGCACTGCCTGTAAGCCTATATGTTTGAGGGGAATGATTTACCCTCATCAAATTGCTGAAAGCCCCCACCCCCATTTTACTGCCTGTGAATGGCATGGAAAATGGGGGGGGGAGGGCATTTTGGCTCAACAATGATGTGCTGCTTTTTCTTTAGGCCATTTTTGAAATTCTATCTGTCTGAAATGTTCTCAGGATTTCAGTCTTCTGAGTTAGCTAGTGTTATCTGGAGAATGGCAATAGTACCTTAGACATTATTACACTTTGATATCTGGACTTCATAACAATAGCTGCAATGGGAAAGTTTTCACTGCATTAACTTCCTTCCCATCATTCTCTCACCCAAACCTTACTGATGCACATAAGCAGTTGGGTGCATTTATAAAACACAGAACCAAAGAAAGGGAAACCTTGATGTGTTTATGTGCTCATCTGCTTCTGTGCATGTTGAGTTGCCTGCTTGTAGGTGTGAGTTTCTTCAGCGATGGAGAAGGAATTCATTCAATCCACTTTGCGCAGTGGACTGACCTCAACTGACCTAGCTGTTACCATGCTAGCTTGTGAATTGCAATGCAACTCCCTGGCAGATTACACATTTATCCAGGTTTTACAAGGGCATTCTAATGTGCAAAAAGTTCACATCAAAATATGTATTTTATGTTAAAAATGCGTACACACTGTATATTGTGTGGGGAAAATGGGATCACAGGAAGCCGCATCCTACTGAGGCAAAGTATTGGTCAATCTAGCTAAATGCTGTCTGCAAAAAGAGAAAGGGTGAGCTAGTGAAAGGAGACAGAATTAGACTGCCCAGTCCATCCCTACTTGTGGGCATCTGTAAACTGGTAGTGGTTGTGGAAACAAATTGGGAGCAAATGAAAATAAATGAAAACTGTGGCTTATGGGATATGTTCCATCTCTGGTATTAACTTTAGAATTTCTCCATCTTAAAAGGGAAAGAAGACAGTAGGGGCGGGGGGGGGGATTGGCCAATAGTTCAGAAGATGGAAATCTCTTTAGCTGCTGTTTCACCAGCTGACCCTGAATTCTAAAGTGTTATTTGAGAGAATTTCCTTCCCCTGTGTGTCAACAGAGTTACTCTCTTCCTTGCAAAAGTCTTCCTGACTTGGTTTATACTTTATCCTTGCCAGATTGCCTCCAGCAATCACTTGTCTGAGAGCTGAGATCAACTGTGGAACTCTTTCTGATGTACACTTGGCGGCTAACCTAGGTTGTGCTCTGAGTAATGGGTGAAATGGC